ATGAACGCCACCCCTAAACTTATTACACCATGCAAAAACGCAAAAAAAAAAGAGCTATCCCACATGACTGAGAGATCCCCACAAAAGAGATTCTGCCATAATAATACTATATGCTACACCCCAATCCAACTCCGTTTCATGATTAAGCAAAGGGATGAAGAAAGACAGGAGTAGTAAACGGCAGCACTGATCGGAGAAATATTCTAGCTTTAAATCGCCAGACGCCAGAGGAGGGAAAGAAAATATCAAGGAATGTGCTCCGTATATCAATCTAGATGGCATAAATTCCCCATATTCACAAAACATTTTTGGTATCATACCAGCAACCGGCGATGCCCACACGGCAATCGTTGTAAAAGGGACATAACGCGAGATTAGAAGCCAAAAGTGGTTATACCTGAAGGGCCCTATACCACCCCAAGGCCTATAGCTCTCCGGGCCTCGAGTATTTTCACTTTTCCCTCATGCCTACTCCCCGTATCCCATGAGAGCGGTGTGTGACCCTAATTTTCTGGCCTATTGGGGTTAACATCGCCCCGTCCCAACAGTAGCGTCGCTGCTCTGTGATGCCCATCACCAGCAGCCCACGAGAGCGGTGTTCTGCCGCGATTGTCCCGGCTATCGGGGTTTGTATCTTCCCTCCCAACAGCAACTTCACTGTTCTCCCATGTTGTTCTTAGCAGCCCACAAAAGCGGCGCTATGTCCCATTTGTCCGGCCCATCGGGGTTGATGCCTTCCCATTTCAACAGTATCTTCATTGCTCCCTCATGCCCATTACCCGCAGCGCTCGAGAGCGGTATTCGGCTGCCATCGTCTGCCATATTGGGGTTGGCATGTCACCGCCTCAGTGGTAGCTTCATTGTTCGCAGGCGGCCAGGCAGGCCCGCAGATAGCCGGCAGATATACAGTCCGGCCAGGCCTTTCGAAAACCCGCGGGCATCATAGATACCTGGCGACACCGCCAGGCTTTCAGCATCTGCCATCGGTTTAGTAAATATTTTGTTAGTGTGTGGCAGACATCCTCAGATGCACGCTAGTATCTGCAAATATCTGAAGATGCCTGCAGATATCTGAAGATGCCCGCAGATACCTGAAGATGCCTGAATTTATATATAGATACTCGCTAATATCCATGCAATATCTGAAGATATCTGCAGTCGGCTCAGCTCCGGGATATGCGAATTGAAATCAAAAAAGGAATATTCCCATGTTCTCCAGCTCTGAGAGCAGCGCAGATGCTGAGAGATTTCCTATCACTCCATATATTACTAAAGTGTGCGTATATCACACGTGAACAAATATTATTCGGTTATGATTTCGTGCTATTTTCCCTGCCACATCAGTATCAGTACAACCGTAAAATATCTAACTATTTTCGCTATAGCCCCGCCTCCACTATATCTTTCTCCTAGTACCCTTCACCTTCACGATTCTGCATGGAAAACCATTTCTCCTCTTCTTGATTGCGATTTTCATGTTGGATGCAACTATTTAGACGAGAATGTGAGTGTATAGTGCATGGGATCTACACTAGGTGGTGCACAGAACGGTCATTCAACTCCTATGATATAGGTAATAGCGGTGAATATAGAAATATCACATGTGGGCACAGAGGCTGTTAACACATATGCTCGTTTGCCGCTCAATTGATACCAATTTATACAAATACCCCTAAAGCTCCCTAGAATTATAGCAGTCACATCGGATCACTCAGAAGCCTGCAGATATCCGCAGTCCAGCCAGGCCAGGCCAGATGAGACTGGGAAGCCGGACTGTGGCCTACAGTCCGGCCAGGTCGTGTCTCGGAGAAGCCCCGGCCGGACTGGCCGCTTGCGAACACTGGGTAGCTTCACTACTCCATTATGCCCACTCTTGGCAGTCACCAAGAGTGGTATTTGGCCCTATACGTTTGGCCCATCAGGGTTGATATCTCCCCGTACCAGGAATAGTTCCACCACTCCCTCCTGACCGCTCTCAGCAGTCAACGAAAGCGGTGTTTAGCCCCATCTGTCTAGCCTATCAGGGCTAATATCTTCCCGTCCAAGTAGTAACCTCAGTACTCCCTCATGCCCATTCTCAGCAGCCCATGGGAGAGGCGCCCGGCCGATATTATCAAGGATAGCCTATCGGGATTGACGTATTTCCTTCCAGACAGTATTCTCATTACCCGTGCTGTCTTGCCCTACCGGTGGCCTATGCTCCCAGGATTTCCGACAAACTGGGGACCAAGAAATAACCTAACCGCCCTTTCATACCCGCTCCCAGCAACACACAAGAGTGCCGTTCAGCCATGTTGCGTGTCCTACATATCAGGTTCAGCATGCTTCTATAGACTATAGTACTCCAACAGCAATTTTACTATTTCTTCACGCCCATATCTAGCAGCCCACATGAGTGGGGTCGCACCCATCCCATCTCTTTGGTTCACATCCCACTCTTTCATCCTCATCAAACCAATCGCCACTTCAGCAATGCCGAAATACAAAATGCAGTGTAGCGCAGAAAATTGAGTGTGAGAATTAGCATAGCTGGTGCGAAACCCCCCTTTGATTAACCACTAAAGCGCTTTGGCAGAAATGTGATTATCGTATCAATCAAGAAGCTTGAACGCAAGGTATCTTGAGTGATCTAAATTCTCCATTCGCATGTGGGTTCCCCAATATAAAGGAGAATACTCTAGGAAGGGCGTGTCTTGAGAGCCGCAAGAGGGGCTGGCTGAAATATCCCTGATGGTCCGGAAGCTGAGACAAGTCAAACAAGTTTCGGCCATTTTTGAGTGAGCTCTGTCAAACAGGTCGGCATTTCCGGAAAGATACTCTTTGAGGGTGGAATTGATCAGCCTAATAGTCGAGGACCCTTTATCGACGGCGACAAGTCCTTGACAACAGCTTAACACTGTCCAGACCGAAGGTATGTTTTTGGTATTGATATCCACTGAAAATATCTCGACCACTAGAGCGTGGCATATCTCATCCACATCCACCGACCACTCCGAATGTGAAATCCACATCAAAGCAGCCATCCCGAGTCTTGCTCTGCCCCCTTCCTGTGCTTTTATCCGTCCTATGGTTGCATCGTATGCATCCCCCAAGCTCAAACCATTTGCCATGGTACCGTGCTTTTCTCGCCTCCGATATATCGTCACTTCCTACAGTATTTCCTCGATGATTAGAGACACCAGTAGGAATCTAAACACATACCTATGAGCTAACAGTTTCGGATATTTTTGCTAGTTCCCCTGCCCCCCACTTACATCTCCGAAGCCCTCTCGGGAACACTCTTTATAATGTTCTCCCCCAAACTTCTGCCAATCGCGTCCAGTGCTGAATTCTCTTTCAGTCTCGCTCGGATGAATTTAATGATGTCATCCCCCGTGAGTACCATAAATACTATAAATACAACTACTATCATCCCAGCAAGATGTTTCTCCGCCTCACCCCAGATATGCAATCTCCCGGCCAGAAATATCCGGACGCCTGGGGATTTCCACAGAAATTGTTTCAGTGAATCAAGCAGCTTTGCCCGATACCCCGCCACACATTCGTCCAATGCATTGATACATACGAAAGCGCGCCATGAGGACGATATATCCTGTGACTTAACATACCCACAATCTCAGCGAGCCTTAGCCTTAGCCTTCGGCCCCAATGGCATTTTTCCCTTTTCAAAAAGCCCCAACAATTCTTACTGGGACACCTTCCAGTCTACCAACGATCTATTTTAGCAGGGAAGCCAGGAAGTTCTTTGGGGGTTGCTCCCCGAGACGATCGTAACGAACAGCCACAATGGTTGTCCGAAAGCATTGAAGTGGCGCAACATAGACCAGACCAATGTGTAAAAAAGGGTGAAAAATCAGGGCACGTGTGTCAATGGTGATGATTAAGCCAGATTGAAAAGTCTGAGATTTGGAACGGAATGTTCCGTTTGCACATGCAAATTCCCTGCGTTTCCGGGAACGCGGGGAAAGGTCGGGGCTGAGGCCAAGGGGATTTGGTTTTGCAACCGGTTACCGGTGCTGTACGAGTACTTTACTCGGTATTTGGTCATGACTCCCGCAAAATATGGGCTTGCGGAGGCACTCTTGACAAAGACGCGTGAGTACTCGTACTGCATTGATGCAGGTATGAAGCGGGCTATTGTTCGCTCCGCCGGGGTCCATTCCATACCGACTGCCATTAGTAGTGGCCCATGTATTTGTTTTTTCACATGAAAGGAACTGTGGTTGCGCTGTGCATGGGGTGTTGTACCTTCCAGATGAGATTCAGCAAGAGAAAGAGCAGAGCATCGGCGACATCCACCGCACGAGTACGAGTACTGCAGGAGTTGGCTGGAATCCAGGATCTCTCTGTTGGCGGGAGTGAGCCTGTTTCACTTCCACTCATTGTTTTCCTTTCCGTCATTCCATTCGTACGGGTAACATACAGTACGAGTACCGGGGCCGGTGGTCTACAGTATGTCTGCCCCAACTCGCGGCGTCATGGTCCCTAATTAGGGATGACATGATTGGTTGGCCCCACACCGGCTTTCCCTTACTTTGAAAGTGCCTCGGCTGTGTGATACACTGAAACAGCAATCAGCTGGTCCGCCGCTAACCACCCGGCCCTACAAAGTCTGATCTTCACCACTCCCCCTCTCTTCTCCCCTCCTTCTCCTCCTCTTCTTCCACCCTTCTCCCTGATTTTTGGGACAAGTTCTCTTACCGGGCATCCATACATCTTTTGTTTCCATCGTGAAAACAGGCAGTCTTTAAATACACAAATCTGTTCATGTCTAATATGAACAAAACTAATCAAAGGTATTAAGCGATATACTTTGGTAAAATAAATCAAGTATCAAAGTAATACTTAAAACAAAACAGAAAACAAAACCAAGTATCAAATCAATATTTAAAACAAAACATAAAACAAAACCAAGTATCAAACGATACTTAAAACAAACCAATAACTGAGTACCCTTACCAGTTACAAACAAGGTTTGTGGACCTCTCCGTTCGTGGTAGAATAAAGTTTAATAATAATTCCTCAGGTTTCTTTGGAGGAAACTCCACCAAAGCTACCTCGGGTATCAACGGTGCCCTCACCCGGACCCAGGTAGACTCAAACATTCAAGACAGTGTCCAGCAGTTTTACAACGATACCCTAAAGTCCGCACGTGATAAGGCAAGGCCAGACCTCATCAAGGTCCTCACTTACAAGTCTGCTGCGGCAGTCGAATGGTTACAAGATGTATTTGGTCTTGACCTCACACTCGTTTCTCGTCTTGGGTGTGTTTGCTTCTGCAGAGCTTTCGTGTGTTTGTTCTTGGGAATCTAATTGCTGCATAGTGGTCACTCCCAGCCCCGCACCCACCGTGGCCATGATGCCAAGTTCCCCGGTATGGCCATTACTTATGCGCTGATGCAGCGCCTTGAGGAGCTTGCGGAGAAGGAACCGGAGCGAGTCAAGATCATCAAGAAGGCTCGTGTTACAAAGCTCAACAAGGAGGGTAACAAGGTGACCGGTCTCGACTTTGAGTATGAGGGAAAGACTTATACCGAGAACGGACCTGTCATCCTCGCCACAGGTGGTTACGCTGCCGATTTCACGGATTCTTCTTTGTTGAAGAAGTATCGCTCTGATGTCTACGGGCTCGCTACTACCAACGGCACCCACGCCACTGGCGACGGGCAGAAGATGGTTATGGAAATTGGTGGTAACGGCATCGACCTTGACAAGGTGCAGGTGCACCCAACCGGTCTGGTGGATCCTAAGGATCCTGGATCCAAGTGGAAGTTCTTGGCTGCCGAGGGTAAGTTCTCAATCTTTCACCCACCCAGCATACCAGTCACTAAGATTCTTCGCAGCTCTTCGTGGTGAGGGCGGTCTTCTCCTTAATGCCGAGGGTAACCGCTTCTGTGATGAGCTCGGTCACAGAGATTACGTCTCTGGCGAGATGTTCAAGAACAAGTTCCCCATCAGACTTATCCTCAATAGCAAGTCCTCCAATGTCCTCGACTTCCACACAAGACATTACTCAGGCCGTGGTCTCATGAAGAAGATGACTGGCCAGGAACTAGCCAAGGAGATCGGTTGCGGCCCCCAGCACCTCCAGAAGGTATTCAAAGAATACAATGACATTGCCGACGGTAAGAAGAAGGATCCGTACGGAAAGAAATTTGTGAGTTTACCATGCTACGTCCAATTATGACACCAATCTAACAGCCTATAGTTCCATAACGGCCCCTTCGACGTCAACGACGACTTCTACGTCGCCCTCATGGAGCCCGTCCTTCACTTTACCATGGGTGGTGTTGAGATTGACGACAAAGCTCGCGTCTTGAACAGCGAGAAAAAGCCCTTCGACGGTCTCTTCGCCTGTGGTGAATTGGCAGGTGGTGTCCACGGGGCCAACCGTCTCGGTGGCTCCTCCCTCCTCGGATGCGTCGTCTACGGCCGTGTAGCCGGTGACTCTGCATCAGAGTATCTCTTCCAGCAAATCCTCACCGGTGCACCTTCCTCCGCCGCCGCCCGTCTGAACCAGATCTCACTCCATATCGACCCCAACAACCCCGGCAGACTCACCATCGAGTGGACCGACCGGGGCCCAAGCGAGGGCTCAGGCACTGATACATCCGGCCAGAGGCCAACACACTCTATATTCAAGGATAGTGCTAAGGGGTCCTCCCCCGGAACCGTGGAGAATTCCGCTGCCAAGAAAGAGTTCTCCATCCCTGAGAAGGAGTACACGATGGAGGAGGTTGCAAAGCACAACAAGAAGGAGGACGTGTGGGTTGTTGTTAAGGGTCTTGTCATGGACCTCAGCGGTTTCTTGGATGACCACCCCGGTGGTGTTCAGGCCATTGTAAACTTTGCCGGTAGAGATGCTACAGAGGAGTTTGCAATGTTGCACGATGATGAGGTCATCCCGAAGTATGCACCCGCGACAGTAATTGGAAGGGTGAAGGGTGTCACTCCTAAGTTGGACCTTTGAATTTGTCAACCTTTTCTTCCTATTCGGGTAGGCATTATGGTAGAGCTGTATATACGATGCAGTAATTTTGATTTTCGTGTTTTTTTCTTTTTGGATTAGTCTATAACAAAGCGGGATTGTTTATAGGGGGCTTTTTATCCTTTTAAAAAGCAATGAAAAAAAGCGAAGGTAAAGTGAAGCGCTTGATTTTACTTCCTTGCTATCGCTTACCACCCAAAGATACTTGTAGTATAAATCACAAACTATACTAGAAGCAGCTCCTTAACACGATATGTACACCGAAACCCTCATCCAAGTTAACTAGCACCCTACTATAACTCCCGAACCTCAGATCTTGACATGAACAAGTGAGCGATACTGCAACAGAAATAAGTAGAAACCACCAAATAAATCATTCCCCCCCCCAGGTACAATATGGCTAATAATTAGAATGACGCGAGTGAATGCAATTGCTTGCTGTAGTCTGGTGCCTGTGCTTTTGATAAATAAACGGGTGGATGAATACAGATAAAGCCGTACTCGAGTAGTCTTGCGTGGCGAATATCACGGTCCTATCATGTGTGGGTGGTGTAAGGTACCGGGGGGTGAAGTGGGATGATGCAAGGTGTGTGATGTGTGTTTTTGCTAGTGGTGTACAGATAGAAACCAGAGGGTGTGAGGGTATAGCTGTGCGCAGCGGCATCTATTTCAAGTTTTGTAAGATTCCAGGACTCGTCACCCCTCTACGATTTTATCACAATCATGATAATAATAACATAAATAATATATTATTATTATCATACCGTCCTTGCCAACCGAGTGATCGATCATGCCCACTAGTAGCGCTGTGAAGTGGACGATAGTTGCAAGAACTGTTTCAGGAAAGCACTCGTACTCCATTGAAATCCGAGTAGAGGGGGGGTTGGATGGGAATTCCTGTGGTATATACCTCGATTGGTACCAGTACATCATAAAATAAAACAGGAAAACCCTTCTCGCGAAGTCCATCGCAATGTCCCCACTTTAATTCTCTTCGGCACGGGTAAGTAAGTCTTTTGGATAAGGGCACCTTGAAAAGATAACCACGCCCTGTAAGGTACGCGGAGAGTTTCAATCAAATATATTATTCTAGCAACCCCCTTCTGTTCACCACACGGCGCAAAGAAAACAGTACCAACTCCGGGTTCCACGGGTGTCCATCCAAGGTAACGATTACCCCCCCAAGCCTATGAGCTTAGTCCACTCCTACCCTGGTAGCAATTGCTAGTGCCTACGACACAAAACAAACTGATAGCATCCCGCCAGGTGTGAGGCCAATAGGCGAGCGGAGGGGCTAGGCACAGAAAACCTCCGGGGAAAGCTGATGCCTCCCCGTGCCCCCACTGCCATGATCGATATACAACATCCCAGCGGGAAGCACTCCCGCCAAGCATGCCGCGATACGAGGACGCACGAGATACCGTTTATACATGTATAGAAGGAAAGGGCAGGGGAAGAAAAGAACTTAAAGTATCAAGTGGCCAGAATGATCAAGCAAGATATTACTAAGCCAACCCGAGTGATATTTTACGATGGTGTGTCGGAAAGTGGTTCCTTGGAAACTTCCCCTCCGCGCTGCCCGGCCGTTTTTTTTTTTCTCATCACGAATATGATAAATACAGGTAACTGCTCCCTCCAGAGCCTGCAAGTACGCATATCATCCCAGGTGGCTACTGGCAACCAAATAGTCCATCTTCCACGACGGTATTGACCGAACTCGGCATACAACACCCGTACTATCCCTTGGACTTTTGAGAGGGTGGAAAGTTTGTCCCGCAGGATCACTGGCAAGAGAGCCCGGCCACAGAAATTAACCCCCCTCTGAGTTCTGCACAAAATGACCGGACCAAACAGGCACCCCCACAACCTCAGAAAGATCTGGCGAAGGAATAGCACAATTCGACATGAAGACTCGCATAATTGAAGGCCAGGTTACAGAAACTTACGATGAGCAAAAGAGTTCTCGTGAAAAGGTCGAAAACAACTGCCAGGACGAGGAACCTGTTATGGGAAACTATTTCTGGCTGACCTCATTTACTTGCGAGTATGGACATTCCCAGTATTCAGCAGAACAAAAAATGTAGCAATCTTGTATGTTATATTCCCTGCAATTCTCATTCGACAGGTTATCGTTTGAAGAAGAAAAAGTAGTTCTGGTGGCGGTTGGGTAAATTTCGGCACTAACTTTACGTAAGTGAACTCAGGTGGAAGTCTGCCTATTTTTTTGTTTACCATGCTCATGTCTCCAAGTGCTTGTGTGGTACTCGAGTGCATGTCCCACGCGCCCAGTACGCCCTCGTGCCGTCGAGCGGGTTGATGGGTCCCCTGTTCTTTTATTGGTATGATAATATGTAACAGTGGGGTGCCTTTGCGTCACACCAGATGTGACCAATGGCAGTGGTTACCTTGATGACTTGGGATAGCCAGGTCTCGGGTAATAACCACCAGATTGTCCGATGAAAAGGGTCACAGCGAGTGGTATGTATCATAGCTAGTGTGGAGAGTAAAATTGTTCAAGGCTCCACTAGTAGAGAAAGGTTACAAAGAAAATGGAAAGAAGCAAAGGAGGCAAAAGAGGCAAAATAAAACATCTATTGTCTGCTCTCGATGATCGTCTGGGCTCTGAGAGCCTTGTCCTCCTCCTTGCTCCCAGTCAGTGGATCCCAGAGTCCATAATTCCACCCAGAACTTCAAGGAACTCGTGGTGAAACAGACACAAGATGATTTTGAATATTCCTGTTTCCCACCACGTGGGCATTTGCGCCCCTATCGTACATATGTTGATGATAGGTGCTGACAAAGATGTAATGGTCATTAGGGTGGCTTCTATAACTTAACATAGCCGCAACTTGAACCGTGCTGATCGCCAGAGTTACGACAACCTTTCCGAAATATGCACAAAGTTAGTGTGCCTCATGGCTCAACTCTTCACAGTGTTACGAACAATTCATAGTTCGAAGATCTCTAACTAACCAACCCCATACATCATTGTTCATGTAAAATGGAGGCCCCCGCTTACGTTACGTATCTTCCTTCACCCACAAACCCGCACATCCACATTTCCACACATTCCCGCATCTATTCATCTCACACATCCATTCACACATCCCCATCCACCGCTCACACAAGCGGTGACATAGCGGGCAGTATTGCGGTGCTGGATAGCGAATATTGAAGGGGTTGAGCAGGGAGGCATGTAGTGGCAGAATTGTATGCCCCCTTCACCCTCCGGAATATGGAAGCCATTCCGAATCCGGCGTTGGCGATGGCTTGTTTGCACAGTTCAATTGTCTTGTGCTCAGCAAAACCACCATAAATTCACTCTGCCTTGCTTAAAATTAAGCACAGTTCAATGACGAACAAACATTGCAAAACCCCTGCATCATGGGATGCCCGCTGTGGTGCCCACGGTACAAACATCTGCTAATAGCAACCGACGACTCGACATCAATGGCGTCGACTGTTTGATGGGTAAGCAAGTTGCGCGGTATGCTCAGACTCCCTGTCGTCTGCTTTCTAGGGCCACACGATAGATTCATCCCAACACATCCCCGTATACTGGGCCCACAACACGAATACTAATTGTGGAGAAAACAGGAATCCCTTACCCCTCGAAGGCTAGAGACCGAGGCAAAAGTGTTGGCTACAGAGTGTACCGGCCACATGCGGAGAGAAAATATCTAGGGCTAGGCTATCCCTCCGTTCATTCCCGAGTTTCGCGACGTATTTTGTCCTACGATCCTCAGGAACTAGGCTCATGGGGGTGTGGCTTGGGTCACTTAATGGTGACCCCTGGCAAATGGAATTTCCAACCCCGAGGAGCTAATCGATCTTCTCCTCAAGTGGCGATACTATCACCCTATTTAGCTCGAGCGTGAGGTCCTGAATACAGACAAAGTGATAGTTCCATCTGCGGTCATAATTTAAAGGCGAGGCGCGTTGGATATGGGTGCCCATTAACGTACTCGAGTATATCCCAACCCAGGCAAGTGCACTACCAGTGAAAGAAGATGGGAATTCTAAACAACCTAGGCCAGTTCGGCTCTCTGTCCTAAGGAGGGGGTGTCGATGGTTACAATTTGCGGACGCGCTACGGCGGTTTGAAGGGCCTCGCTGCACTCCACCTTTGGCGATATTAATCATCTGGGCACCCATTCCTATCATTTCCACGGCATCATAAAAGCTGAGAACCATTCCAAACGCCGGTCCGATTGCTCTTCACTGAAGCCGACTATTTGGATTCCAAGTTGTTGTTCCGCAGACAGATGGCAAGTGGAGGAAGCGATTTTTTATTTTTACTTTTTTTCATTTGTTCTCATCTTCATAGTTCGGTGTTTTGCTTGAATAGGCGGTTAGGATCTTCAAATGGCATGCCTAACCCACTAGACCGGAGAGAAATATAGGCCCCGCCCCGGTACGAACACTATAAAGGATGAGTGAAAGCAACACTAGAGGTACTGTGTACGAGCTTACGGCAACCAGAGGTATTTACTTTAGCAAATAACCACATACAATGGTAGATTATTCAAGGTGACTGTGCAGTTCGTTGCTCTTTTTCCGGGCATGAAGGTGGAGAAAGAATGATGAGTGAACCCTCCTCCCCGTTCCGTTCAACTGCATGTGCAGCATATAGAGCTACAGGTAGTGCCGAGGTATGATATGATATATAATCTGTGAAAGGTATTGACGGTGATCGCTTTGCGATATTGAGAGAAATTACTGGGAGCAAGTAAACCGGCTGCTTGCCAATATAGGACAGGCTTCTTTCAAGTTTATTGTATACCCTCACCCATTCGCCTGTAACAACCGTGCACCACTATTCACAAAACACAAAACATAAGACAATTATTAACAAGTAATAGGAATGAGGGGCAGGAAACACGATGGCATGGACCAAGTCCAACTGGAACTCCGAAAAGGCGAGGAAAGAAAGAAAGAAAAAGGGAGATATATAGCAAATAGCATGCTGAAATTAGAAAAGGAGCGCCCATTTTCAAAGCCTATTTACATCAGAATCGTCGGAGGTCTTGCCTACACCAATCCCTCACTCAATCATCTATGCAAACCCAATGAGAATATGTCTGGTAACGAAGGAGGAAGGATGCGAGCGAGAAAGCTAAAGACAAATAAAAGAGGCAGCAAGGGAAAACTTTTTCTTTCTGTATGTAGGGAGGTTTTCTCCACCTGTCTTCTGAACAAAGTAGATAGCAACATAATTGAATGAACATCAAACTCCAAGAAACACAAATCAAACCGAACAAGTCTTAGTGTGAGAGTGAAGTACACTGAGTGATAAGACTTTCCTTGAGAGTGCAAGGACTGATTGATACGAATTTTACGAATTGATTTTCTTTCCTTCTTTCTTAGTTTCTTTTTCATTCAAACCTTCCGATTACCACCTTTTCACATTCGCTTTCCCGAACTGAATTTTCTTTTTCTCAGTATGATATCATACCCGACTGGGTCGTGTGCGAGCCCTGCCCAAGGGGAAAGGGAAAACACTACTATACCCCGCCCACAGCGATCCCCACGCCAGCAATCCGGACTGTCTGGACACTTACTGGTTCCGTAGAAG